TTGGTTGAGTGAGTGGAAGACCACTGGATAACAAAAGTAATGTTATAATTTCATTTCAGTCTGACAGGGTTTTTTGGTGTTTCTTAGCACTGGACAGTCTTTTTCTGGTAGATGGTGTTTGTTTTTTCTAGTTTCAGACTACTTGATTGTATGTCAAATATTTCTGGTTGTGGTGTGAGGTGCAGCTGAGCAGTAAAGTTTGATTCCTACTTCAAGGATTGTTTTTTATGTACTTTGAACTTTAGTTTTTAATTTAAACAGCATCTTTACAAAATAAGGTATAAAGTCACGGTCAACTTACATAAAGAGGCTCTTCTACAGCTTTCCGTGTATTTTAATGTAAGTGAACTAACATGACTACAAAATGTAATGTAGACGAGCCCAAAAGGTTAGTTGGGTTGAATTGGAAGTATATGGTAATGAACCATTATACCTTTTACATTTAATTTTTCCTTTCACAGTGAGAAAGTCAACAAAGGGATTGGCATTGAAAATATCCATTATTTAAATGATGGTCTCTGGCATATGAAAACCTATAAGTGAAGCAAAAGAAACTGTGTGACCCCCAAAGGAATGCACTTAGAGTAAATGGACTGCTTTGTAATTCCTTTTGTTTTTAATGTGACTGAATGTACAAATTTATTTTGTTCAGTGGCTACGCTAAATAAATCAAGTGAATGCTAAAGTCCTGTTAGCGGCAATAGTTTTCTAGACTTTATTACAGTTCTTAAGCTTTTATCCTAAACCCATGTTGTCAGAATGCTTGAAGATTATATCTGATGAAAAGGTCAAATGTGAACAGTGAATAGAACACTTCCTGCTAGGAAGAGAGAAAGCTAACAGGTGTAAAATTTTGTGCTCTCTCCTAGCACAGTAATTTAAATTGGATTTAGGATATATTTAATGCTTTTGTATATAAAATTTCTAAAATGTGTTAATGCATTTGCTTTTGATAACAGGCAGTCTAGAAGGATGAAAAGTCAGAAACTGTAACAACACACAAACTGGATGTTTCTATGTTCCATATACTTTGTGTCAAATTCTAATTTAACTTATTGTCCAACAGTAATGGTTTGAATGTTTTACTCAGCTGAGTGGCCATTTTTTAAGATGCAATTAGTTTTATGGACTATAAACCAAACACTGGATTGTGAGACACGTGACATCTCCAGGATACACAGAATATGCTATTTAAATGATCATTTACCACACGATATTTGAGATCAGTTTTTCCCTGCATTGAAAATCTATAGTAACTGGGGAAACTTTAAATGGCTACAGTGGTAAGGGCTAACAGATCCTGTAACCAGAAGTTAGTATTTCTGGGCCAAATTTTAAAAGGAGGATCAACTAGGCCTCCATTTGTGCACTCTATCACCTGCACATGTGCTGTTACTACTAATAAATGGGGACTGCATGCACAGACTCATCCTCTGTATTTAAGTGATTGTGCATGCAGAAAGAATGTTGTCGTGTGGAAACATCTGAGGTCTCTACCACTCATGGAATGACCAGAGTAATAAGTCTACATGACTCATTGTTGGAAGGATTTATTAATATTGTAAATCTTATTTGTATTTGCAGTTTTTAATTTTGTATCAAATGGCTTCTGTCTCATTCTGTGTGTGTTTTGTTTCAACATTTTTGGATCCTCTAATTCAAGAACTATTGACTTAGAAAAATACTCTTCCCTTATCCTAAAGTGTTATTACAAATATGGGATATGAAATATATTTTACCTAACAATAGGTAGTGCTAGCTTGAAGATTTCTCCTCTTCATCTAACACTAAGTTAAAAGGCGTCACTTTTGAAAATGACAGAATTCTAATGCTTCAGCTACTTATTGTATTAACCAAGGAATTACTAAAGTAACCAGTTTGATGGGTACCACCCTACCATTGTTGCACAAAGAAAGCTATACAAATATAAGTGCTCACACTTTATTCTAAACAGTTACATGTCAGTCTTTAAACTTGGTAATAAAACTTCTCTGAACTCACCATTAACCGTATGTGGGATTACATTACATGCCTTAATTTGTACTAGTCAAGTAAATTCAGAATTTTTTCCTTACTTTACAAAGCATCTGACACAATATGGTAAAGTAGGCCTGTTCTGGGAGGGGTTGTATAGGAAATTTATTCTACTTGCCCTTTAACTCCTTTGTAGATGTTAAATGATGAAATACTGTCAACTAAACTTCTCTTGGGTAACAAGGGAAGCTGATAACATAAGCAATGGAAGTGAATTGGTTACAGATCACAGAATGAGGGATGGAGTAACTTACCTCTAACAACTTCTGGCTATGATTTGCATAGTTTAAAAGTTGCTTTCAAGTAAAGCAAATAGCTCTAACATTACCTGTCCTGCCACTACTTGGAAAGGAATAGTAACATCAGGGCAGGTCCCTCTATGAACACACTTATCATTCTGACTTGCTGCTGTAACTATAGATGGGTACATTTACATTGATTTAAGAAGGTCCAGTCACCGAGCAAGTTAATTAAATCTGTTTAAAATTACATCTTTAGTTGAACTGCTGCAACTTTGGGCATAGGCCAGGCCTCAAACAATGGTGCAGTTTTAGCCTATCAGTATCAACAAAGAAAGGGTGAAGGAAATACCTATTGAATCTCCCCCTGCCAAAAAGACTGTTGGAAACTGAATAACCTGCTAAAATTGCTTATTCCCTTTTGCTGGGGCAGGAGTGTAGTAAAATATAATAGCCCTTTCCACAAAAAAAATGTTGGAAATGTGTAGGTAGACAGAGGATCTATAATAGAACGGTCTAGTACCAACATTACAACTACAGTCTCTCCTTTTACGTCTTTTGGAATTAAAGGGGGGGGGGCAGAAGAATTCTACACGGAAGTACTGGTATTTACTGTGGTACTGTGACCTTGGGGGACTGAGGCTGGTGACTTGTAGAGACTGTAATGATTTAAAATGTAGTTATTCTCTAAATAGAGTGTATTATTCCACATTTATTGTTTCACTGGCTTCTAGCTCAGCTCTGCTACATTTCCAAACTAGCTTTTTCTAATATCCAGGATTGTAAAGCTGTGCTCTCACTGGTTTTCACATCAGCCATAAAAGATTCTCTTAATTAGAATTTAGTTAATTTTGTGTATGGATTTAAATACTCTAGCTCCCTTTCCTATAACATGTAAGACCCCATTCCTTACAGGAGTGAAAACTTGTCACTATGTGAACTGTGAATTACACAGCAGGAGATCTGCGTAAGGAGATGCCTATTTTTAGTCTCTTTCCTGACCATAAGTGCAGTTCAAAAGAATCTTGGGAAGGTTATTTTATGAATATGGGGTTTAGAAAATACACAAGCACTTTCTGACTTTCTAGAATGGGTTAGTTAAAAATAAATTTTAATATCTTACAACTATTTGTACTTGATTATTAACACGTTCAACTATTTTGAGAATCTGCTGTGCATACAGTTACATGAAACAGCCAGTCCTTAACTCACATAGCAGATCTCTGGATGCAAAGTACATCTCTACCCCTATATAACGCTGTCTTCAGGAGCCCAAAAATCTTACCGCATTATAGGTAAAACCACATTATATCAATCTTGCTTTGATCCGCCGGAGTGCACAGCCTCCCCCCCCCCGCCCCCCGGAGCACTGCTTTACCGCGTTATATCCGAATTTGTGATATATCGGGTCGTGTTATATCAGGGTAGAGGTGTACGATATAAGAGTGAGCCAGGTATTACTAAAAAAGGACACCTCACTTGATGAGGTGAATGAAATCAGCCAACAACTGCACCAGTTTGTTTTAAAATGTTTAATTTCCACAAGTTTTGGTTGGTTCTTCTATAAGAGACTTTGATAATGTAAATCCACATTTGATAAAACTACCTTTGGTTGAAGTTTCCTCTGACACAGCTTAATAGGTTTTAATGTCACAGTAACAATTTTTGAAAAAATAAATGAGTTAAAGGGATACTCTTCTAACTTCAGAAATGGTAAAGAATGAAAAAATCCCTTTCATCTTAATTTTTAACTGGTCATTCCAAATTACAAACCTTCTCCCTACTTGTTTGTACTACACATTTAGTGAAGCTGAGTCAGTATCTACCTTTCTGTGACACTTGCAATTGGCTAACTAATACTAGTTTGTTATAGAAGTGAAATTTTAATACAACATTTTCCACAATTGGGGTTGATATTTTCTCTAAAAACACACCCACCCTCCCTTGGCTAACCCAGTTATTTCCATGGAAGCAGTGATATATGTAGACACTTAACTAGCCATCTTGAGTATGGGACTTAAATATATAAAACCAGTGTACGTAATATAGAACAGAAGTGAACAGTAGTGTAATGTCTACTATGGCCTGGAAAGAAGGAAAAGTTCCTAATTTGGATTTATAGCAAACAAGAATATTTTTGTTTCAGATGCAGCATTTCAATATTGTCACCTTCAGTGTTTTGGGTGAGAATACATTAAAGGTATATTGCCATCTTGATTTTTTGAAATTGCTAGAAAATTCTATTCAATAGAGCATTTCCTGAGTTACCAGAACAAATTTGTTTTACATGAAGATTCCCCTCCCCCACTGATGGTTAGAAGGATCCTTTAGATGGGCCCCAACAGCAATACCAAACATGCTTGGTCACATCCTCTGGCTTGATCCCTCTGTCTCCTGCACCTATCTGTATGTTGCCTCTTAATTTCAGCTTCACTGGTGTTTTTGCAGAAGGTAGTGAAGAGAGTGGATATGCTCTCCTCCCTGAGCTGTGCAGAGTGCTAGCATGTGTACAAAGTAAAACAGAGGAAATGCATGTTTTTTCTTCTTATAGAAGTTTGACTAAACAGCACTATCAATAGGCACAGCAGCCTTCAGCTGGTTATGAAGTTGATTAGGTTTCTTCATATTAATACTGCTCCATTTTTCTGAAGGGTAAAAATTCAGGCCACTGACATTTCTATTCTAGACGACAACAAACTGAAAAAAAATTGCACTAATGTAAAGAAAACAGCTTAAAGTTGTACTTTAATACAAAATTCTGTATTTTCAGTTTTATTTGTACATCTTAGAAAGATATAAAGATTTTCAAGAAGTGCATGGAAGAGTTCAAAATCAAAAAATCTTGCAAAAATATATTTAAATTACAATAGATTAAGATTCATTTGTTTTCACTTATAAATATTTAGCCATACAAACATCCCCTATAAATTCATTTCCTTTATCACACAAAGATTGTAGCATTACCATTAACATTTTTCATTCCAACACAGTCAAGAGCCAGAAACATTTTTGTATAAAAGTTTTAGGAAAAAAAGATTCCCACTTTTGAAACGAAAATGACCAAACCCTGATGTGCAAAAAATACACAGATACCATCAAATACAAAAATTGCACCAGCTTGTATACATGCAAGTCACATTATGCATTAACAGCTGACTGCATGTTCTACACAATACATATGCCTTCTTTGAACAGGTATCAGTCATTGTCTGAATCTGTGGGAGGTAAGAAAACCAGTGCATCTTTGAAATTGTGCCCATATGCTCTGAGCCTATAAACACCATACATCATTACATGCATGTGGTTAGGAGCCAATCCATTGAAAGTGATGGCCATGTCAGAACAGCATCCCTCTACTACTTGTTGAGGGTGATTAGCCATTGCTTCTTTAATAAGAGAACCAACTGATTTGGTGTTAAAGACATCTTTTCCTTCAGAATCTTCTGCATTTTCAGCAAATACTCCAGTATATTTCAGGCAGACTGCTAGTTGTTTATCCTCAGAGAGTTTCCAAATCAAGCCTCCCTGTTCTGGACACTTATCAGGGTCTTCAAAAATTTTAGAGAGTCTTTTTAGGGACTCTATACTTAAGACAATTCCTCCATCACCATCTACGTACTCAAGCTCTCCTGATTTTACAGTATGACCTATATAAAAAGGCTGTGATGCGTCTTTTTTCAGCAAGAAATATTTGAGATTTTCTATAACAGCAAATGTCGTTGGATGTGCTAGAAAGAACCAGTTGTACTCATCTTTATAGCGTTCATATGCTAATTTATAAGCGTTTCTCACCATCATCCACATGTCATTTGTGTTGAGAACAACAGAATCAAACACCTTAACGCTTTCAGAACTGTAGAATTCGGCCTTGTCACAGTGTTTGCTCCATGTTTCTTTCACAGCAGCCCAATTGCCAAGATCTTTAGGTTTTACAAGGATGATACAATAAACACGGATACTGTGGCTGAGCTCCAGGCGCTCACCTTCTGACAGATTTAAGACATCTTCTTTGTTAGGTGCTTGAATATGATGATGCTCATGGTGATGTGCTTTAGTCCCGTGGCCCATCTTATTATGTCCTATGAGTGTGACAAATACACAGAAGAGTCCTCCTAACACCATGCCTTTCACAAAAGAACTGCTTTCGGAAATCATTTTTTCCTAGAAAGAAAAGACACCTTTTGAGAGGTTATGGAAATTATTTGTAAAGATTCAATTTTATCTCAACATAAACTTTTTCTGTTCATACTTTAAAAGAAGTTCCTAAATTTTAAATTGCAATTATCGTTCCTTTAACTTTCTGCTGTAGTTTAAATTGTTAAGCCACTGTACATTGTCATGAGAGGAGCATCAAGAATTAATTATAATGCTCTTTTACCAATCCTAAATATTATGGTAAATTTACAGGATAGAGATGTTTCCAAATTAACTCTGTAAAAGTATTCCCTCAAGGTCTTTATCTTCAGAAATCTGTGTTCAATCTCTTGTCTGTGCACTGGATGGAACAGCTTACCTTTACTCTAACAAAGGAAGTGGAAAGTGGCAGTTGGTATCAGAATGAGTACTAGCTGCCTATGCCCCGTGGGCTCAAAATTATGGATAGCTAAGGAAGCTCCAGCCTGTCTCATGCGAGGGAGCTGAGAACCTTAGCATAGAAATCCAGGTATCTTCAGAGAAGCAGAGTTGCTGATACAGGCAGCTGTCAGCTGAAACATCAGTCAAAAGAACTTGGTTGTCACTGTAATTCAATCCAAAACTTTAATCAAGTAAAGCTATTTTGCAGGACAAAGCCTTGCCATTACCAAGTATGATTCACAATCCTGCTTCTCTCATTCCACATGCACTGACTGTGGTTCCTTGGCTGGGGAATTTATCACTGGAGATCAGGCTAAACTTGAGTCTTGCCACACGTATAGTAAGATGCACGCTCTTTCTGTGGGCTCTCTCCTTAACAACTAAACTGCAGAATGGTCTCAACTGTCTGTCCTGGGAAACAATCACCTGGATTATGTCCTAATCAGATTTATTAACTGAGCTGTGGGAAAGGATTTGAGAGTTTAGTGCCTTTATTCTAAAGACCAGCATAGTGGTCCTTGTAACAGGGCAGTAGGTGCAGAGATACATTTCAGTTAATCTGTTACAGCCTTTAAAACTGGGAGTTATAGGTGCAAGTGTCAAGAGTAGGAGGAAGCATATAACCTAGAGAAAGGTAAATATTGTATAAGGTTTCCTTCCTCTTAGGTAAGGGCAGCAGAGTAGAGATTCCCAAGGTCAGGGGAGTGCTAGTGTGGGTCTCCCCATGGTAGGCAGGAAAGCGCTACCTAGCATAGAAGCATAGATCATTTCCCTTCCCAGGTGTGGGCGGCAGGAACAGTCACTATTATTTCGTGTTGTGCCCTATTTTGAGTCTTCAATTTATTAACAATCTTGTCCTAGGAAAGGGCACAGGAACAAAGAGGATCCTTTGGGCTTTACTTGGCCTGTCCAAGCTGGACCATGACATTTTCTTCTAATGACAGTAACTGCTGAGACAGGTGTGACTGCTGCTGCTGCACAACCATGGTACGTGGAAGGAAGACAGACTCAAGCAGAAGGTAAGTGGTGCAGGGGCAGGTCCCTAGGAGATGAGGGATGTTTACTCTTCTCAGCACCTGTTATAGGATGACCAGATATCAAGTGAGAAAAACCAGGACAAAGGATGGGGGGGAGGGGCGGGGGAGGAAACAGGTGTCTATATAAGACAAAGCCCTGAATATCGGGACATCTGGTTACCCTAATCTGTTCTCCTGAGGCGGGGGCAATGGGAAAGGAAGGGGGAGTCATTCTTGTTTTGGGAAAGGAGGGTGGGGCCCACCAGAGCAGCCAACTGGAAGGGGCGGTTACTCCCCTCGCCCCGAGGGGGGTAGGACGACCGGAGGAGCCCGTCGGAACGGGGTGTGTGTGTGTACCAGATGAGCCCATCCGAACGGGGGCTGCTATGCCCCTCTCCCGGGGGTGTGTGTGCCAGAGGACCCCGTAGGAACGGGGGGGGGATTATGCCCCTCTCTCGGGGGTGTGTGTGCCAGAGGAGCCCATCGGAACGGGGGGGGGTGGGGGGCGCCACGGGAGCCCGCCCGAACGGGGGGTATTTTCTCTGTCAACATTGACACTTCCTTGGCGGGAGTCTCCCCCGTGTCCGTGCTGGGAGATTTCCCCTCCCCCATCACTCACCGGTGCCGCCGAGCGGACGGGACCACTGGCCCACCGAAGACGAGCTCCAGCTCCACCCCCACCCCGAGACGAAGGCGGAACTACTAATTCGTCTTCCGGCCAGCCTGGCGCACGAGCCGCACGCAGCCCTTCTAGCCGCGGCCACTCGCTGGTTCGCAGGGACGGGCGACTTCTAGGGCTGAGAGGCCGGAGCTGACGTTCGAGCCAGAGCGGCTAGGCGAGGGGGCGGGGACACACATCCCTCTCTTCCCGCCCAGCGACCGTCCCTCCCCCCCGCACAGCCCC